CCCAAGGCTTCTCCTTATGTACAGGAAGCAGACCACCTCCCAAAGGCAGCTACTCAGCTGCTTGTGGTAGATCCCACCATGGAGTTGATTACCAGTCTCATCATGGGGAATAACTACCACCAGCTGCCCAGCCACTCCACCAGGCCCAGCTAAGTTGACACAAAAATGTAACCACCACAAGGTTCTTCCCCTTTTTTGCTGACCCTCTACTTTACCAAGCATGATATCCTTCTCCAGGGAATGGACCCTCCTTATAAGATGACCAAAGTACATGAGATGAAGTCTGGCCATTCTCACTTCTAAGGAGCATGCCGGCTGTACTGCTTCCAAGACACTCTTGTCCATCCTTCTGGCAATCCATGGTATACTAAATATTCTTTGCCAACACCATAACTTGAAGGCATCAATTCTTCTTTTGTCTTCCTTATTCATTGTCCAGCTTTTGCACACGTATGAGGCAATTGAAAATACCATGGCTTGGGTCTGGCACACCTTACTCTTCAAAGTGACATAATCTTCAAAGTTAGTATGTTAAACTGGTCGTTTTAATTGCCTGCCCAGGACTGATTCCATGTTTGCTTAGCTGCAGTCAATGGAGTCAACTCACACCTTTCATGAGCTCCTGTCACTAATTCCAAGAAGCCATAGGAACCAGAGAGTGATGGCTCTTTATGGTCAAGCCAGGATATGAAACAAAGGAAGGGAATCTTGTGACAGCTGTCTTTTGTACGAAGCGGGCCCCAGAAACGCTTGCTTATGACAAGGATGTAATCAAGAAAATTATTTTTGAAAAGGCCTTGGAGTCAGCCTTATCTAGTTTCCCAGACAACTTAAAGGGTTTTTATTTTAACAAAAGCTGTTTGTGAGAAATAAGGTCCTAATACCAAATGATACCAAAATCTGTAATGATACCAAGTCTCTGATTCCTGAGACATCTGGTTAAAGCTGCTTGAACATCAACCAGTGATGTTTTATGATCCCATATGAAGGCTATGTGACTATGATTGTAAACCTCTGTAATTCCTGAATCAGTGTAAGCCTCTGCATTCAATTATCCAATAGAAGTCCATTTCCTGCCCCATCCTCCTTGTGACCTCAACCAAAGACTAACCAATCAAATGACTGTATTATAATTTCTTTGTTCCCTGGACTATATCTGTCTTTGTTAGAAGTTCTTTAGTTGGAATCATCAGTTCTCACTTATTTGGGCTGGTTTCTCCCTCACTTATTTCAGCTGGTTTCTCACTGAATTCTAACGTATCTTTTTTCTTTTATTCTGAATAAATACTTTTAATCTCATTTTGAGGGCTGAGTGGGCTTTTTCTCTATCTCACAAGACCAAACTCGCTGCCGTGGAGTCGATTTGGCTCATAGTGACCCCTCCTTGGGTTTCCGAGGCAGTGTCTCTACAGAAGTAGATTGCCCAATCTTCCTTCTGAGGAGTGGCTAGTGGGTGTGAACCTCCAGCCTTCTGGTTAGCAATCAAATGCCTTAGGCACTACGCCACCAGAGCTCCTCTATCATACAAATAACACTTATTTAATGTTGTGTGCCAAGCACTGCTTTAAATGTTTCATAAAAATTAACACTTAATCCTTACAACATCAAAATCAATATCCTTGTTTTACAAAGCTACAGGCACTTGCCCAGGCCACACGACTAGTTGGTGGTCAACCCAGGATTCCAGCTCATGCTACCTCTTCTCAAAAATCAGGACCCTCACCCTTACATATTTCAATCATGCTAACAAATTAAGTATATTGAAGAACACAGAACACCTCTGTCATTTGCATCCCATGCTAAGAACTGACATTGCATAACTTTTCATTCTAAACATCACTCACAACTACCACTGTTTAGGCCCCAGGGGAGTGAGCACTTCTTGCCTCACTAGCCTGTGTCCTGTGCCTGAATTCTGTAAAGATTTCTGGTGGTTCTGTGGCAGGAAACAGACGCTGCTTCAGAATATGAGAAGGGTTTCAGCACCAGAAAAGTTTAGATAGGAGAGAAGACAAAACTGTCAAATGAAACGGATTCTTGCATAACCAAGTATCATTTCCATACTGCCAAGCCATCACTGAATGGCTTCACGTTGTGTTTTAATTCAAGATTCCAAAGGGAGCAGCAAATTGCCACAGCATTTGAACAATACTCTTAAATATGCGTATAAATACCAATGTAACTGGTGTGAATTGTCATATCAGTTCTTTACTGCAGCAACTAAAGGAAAACTAGGATTGCAAATTGTTTTCTTTTTACAAAAACATTCTGTAGGATTTATTTCAAATGTCATATTTATTAAGTCAATTACAAAAGGACAAATACTGTAGGACAACACTTTTGTAAAAAGTTAAGAAAAGGTTTACTCACAGAAAGCAACATTCTTTGGTGATTACCAGGGAAGGGAGGGGCAGGAAGGGAGAATCAGTTAATAAATAGTAGAGATGTGTTGTTGTTGTTGTTGTTGTTTGCTATCGAGTCGGCCCCGACTCATAGCGACCCCTCCTTGGGTTTCCGGGGCAGTATCACTACGGAAGTAGGATTGCCCAACCTTCTTTCCGAGGAGTGGCTGGTGGGTTTGAACCTCCAGCCTTCTGGTGAACCACTCCTCGGAAGGAAGGTTGGGCAATCTACTTCCGTAGTGATACTGCCTCGGAAACCCAAGGAGGGGTCGCTATGAGTCGGGGCCGACTCGACGGCACATAACAACAACAACAACAACAGAGATGTGTTAATACTGGTGGAGGGAAAGACAGTACACAATACGGGGAAAGTCAGCACAACGTGACAATGTAGGCACTGAGAGGTATGCAAAAATAAATAACAACTTGGAGCTCTGGAGGCTTAGTGCCTAAGGCATTTGACTGCTCACCAGAAGGCCGGCGGTTCAAACCCGCCAGCCACTCCTCGGAAGGAAGACTAGGTAATCTACTTCTGTAAAGATTCGACCTCAGAAACCCAAGGAGGGGTCGCTATCAGTCGAATGTCCACCATGGCAGTGAATTTGGTGGTAGTAGTTGTTGTTGGCACATAACAACAACAACATACGCAATTCACCAACAGCAACCACCAGATCACCGTCGGTGGCGCGCTGCACCTGTCCTGCCTTCATCCGGCCGCCAGGTGGCGATGGCAAGAAAGTCCTTTGAAGCCGTCCATCTCTATGATCCTCCTAGGTGTCCTGCGCAACCAGGAAGCCATGCTGACGGAGAAGGAGTGCTTCCGGGTAGGAGCGAGGTGACCCCCGGCTGCAGTGGGAACTACAGTGGCAGCCACCATGGGGGCGCATCTGTCCCGGCGATATCTGGGAGATAGCTCCAAGGAGCCCGACCCCCTACGAATGCCCACCTTCCCGCCCGACTACGGCTTCCCCGAGCGCAAGGAGCGTGGTGAGGCCCAATGCGCAGGCGCGGCAGGCGGGCATGGGGTGTGCGCGCCGGACACCCAGAACCTCGGGGTCCACAGAGCTGGAGTCGAGCCTCACGCGCTTGTCTCTGGGCTCAGTCTTGGCCTTGACCAGGAGTAGCCCAGAGGCGGCACTGTCTGTGCCTCAGTGGCGAATGCCAGGCAGAGGGCACAGCTTGCGCAAAGGCCCGGGGACAAAAGAGAATTGTGATTTTGGGGGAGTGGAAGACATAGGGGTATCACAGAAGGAACGTGGTCACTGTGTCACGGCTGTTTTTAGGTATGCATGAGGGACCACAACCGTACATACTGTGGTGCACGTTGCTTTTTTATGACGGTATCACAACACTGGACCGTGTCCCAAATTGGGCACTGTGAGTACAGCAAGGTGCTGTAGGCACGCAGGCTGTCTTCAGGGAACTTACATCCTAGTGGGGCAGATAGTGGAAGCAGGCAGATTTGGGGGGAGGAAACTGAGGGTACCAAGGAAGCCTTCCAGGGGGTAGTGGCTGAAAGTGGAGACTGGTAGCGAATTAATAGTTGACCAGGCAGGGAGGACTATAAGGAGAGAGCAGAACAATGTTTCTAAACAGGGGAGGGACACGGTCAGATTTGCTTTGCCAAAAGGTTGCACTGGCCGCTGAGTGGACAGTGACGGGAAGCGAGGAGACCATCTGGGCCACCTGCCCCCCATTGCGCATCACACCCCGCCTTACCCACAGCCAGCTTTGCAAACACCCACGAGCCCTGCTTCTCTCTGTTGCTGGGCTAAACCATAACCCTGGTTAACCCTCTCTCTCCCCCTCCTTGACTCCTGCCCTTGTGCAGCTGACTGACGGGAGAAAAACACCCAGCCTCACTAGTCTCTTCGAGCCGCCTGGCCGTCCTGGTTGTTGGCTCTCCCTCTCTGCATTCTAGATGGCTGGCCACCTCCCTCCTCAGATTCAGCACCTCCTTCGTCCCCCTCTCAGCCCTTGACTTTATATTTTAAAAAATATATAACAAAATAGAGACAGCCACAAAAGAGCTTTCATGGGCTCCCTGTGCACCCTCAGACTCCACACACCCCCCTCCTCTCACTCTGGCCCAACTGCCCCTGCTAAGCTTTACCCCTTGAGCCCTGAATCCCGTCCTCACATCTACCCAAAGGTGCTGCTCCTTCATTCTCTCTGTCTTGCACCATCAGTCTCCCCATCACTGTGCAGGTAGCACTATTTCTACCGTTCTGAAATGCCCTCCTGGCTCCTTTCTTGCCTTCTTCTCACGGCTGCTTTTACGTGTACACAAGGGGGCCCAGCCGCACATGCTGTTCTGCGCGATGCTTTTTTAATATAATTATCACATCGAGTGCCAACCCTGGACCAGGTCGCAAGCTGAGCGCCGCGGCCACAGCAGAGGCACAGACTGTGTCTTCAGGGAGCTCACCGGACAGTGAGTGGTGTGGAGCGGACAGTGGAACCAGGCAGATTGTGGGGGAGGAGCCTGGGGGGTCCCAGGGAAGGCTTCCAGTGACTGCCCCCTTTCTCACCTTCCTCAGGCACTGCCAATGCTACTTGCCTCCTGGGAGCCCCTGCTCACTGGCTCCCAGGACCCCAAACTCCCCTGGCTCTCCACCTACCCCACCAGCAGCTCCTTCGCTGATTGTTATCTCCCTTGTAAAGTGTTGCGGGGTGCCTCAGGGCACAGACCTCTCTCTCCAGTCTCCCCATACTCCCACTGTCATGCAGTCTGCCGTCCCCTGGTGTCACCTGCCTTCTGCATGTTGACGTTCCCAGGTTATAACTCCAGCCAGGTCTCACCCCGAACTCCACGTTCGGGAACTCACTGCCTGCTGCACATCTCCTCGTGATGTTAACACGAATCTCACATTTATCGGGACCACACAGAGCTCCTGCTCTTCCCCCTACGCCTGCCCCTCCCTCCATCTTCTTGTTCTGGGAGCTGCCGGTTCTTCAGGTGCTCAGACCAGAAACCCCGGAGGCATCCCCTCGGCCCCTCTCTTCTCAATGCTTGTTCTTCCCGAACACCCTTTGCCAGATGTCCTGTAGCCCCCTCGCCTTCTAAGATACCATCTTCCCAGGACCCCTCCATCTAAAACTGAGTCGTCTCCCGACACCCCTTGTCACTCTCGCTGACTTATTTCCTCTCCAAGACGCACCACCCTCGGAAACTCTGCCACATTCTGCACCCTCTGTTGGTGTCTCCGTCCCCCCATAATGCCCACCTCACAAGGGTGAGAACGCGCGTGTGTGCGCGCGCGCATGTCCTGCCCACATACTAGGTGTGCAGTGAACCCTTGTGGCTGACTGACTGAGTTTGACACGAGAGCACCAGGTGTGGGCAGCAGGTGGATACACAACGGCTTGGGAGGGATGGAGTCCGGGCTCTTCAGAGATGTCGTGGCGATGGAAGCCATTAATCAGAACAAGCAGGGGCTCTCAGGACAAGCCCCAGGCCACCAGCGCTGAATGCTGGTGCAAGAGCAGGGAGGGTGGGGTGCGGGGGAGCCGACGGGACATAGCGTTTGGAGGTGGCTGAGATGTGAGGTCCTGAGGTCTCAGGGTCCTAGTAAGAGCTGTGATTTGACGGCGGTGGGCGGGAGATGAGTCCCCTTTGTTTCCAGAGAGCTGGAGCTAAGTCAGCAAGGAGGAACTGCAGCGGGGACTTGGGCGAGTTCAGATGCTCATGGGGAGGAGCCAGGACCAAGGAAAAGGATGGAAGTTTGGGAGGTCGAAGGAGGAGGGTCCTCCTGCCTCTTCCCCTCAGGGGGCATCAGCAGTGAGCCAGAGGCTGAGAGTGAGGTGACGGGCAGATGGCCCCAGTGGCTTCCAGCAGCAGGTGGTTTTGTCCTGGGCGGGACTCGCGGGGTAGGGGGGTCACCGGGGCCAACAGCACTGTCAGCCCTCTGAGGCCCTTTAGTTGATTAGCTCAGTTACCATGGACGATAAATGAGAGATAGGAAATGACGTCGCCAAGACCACGCAGCCGGCTTGCCTGGCCCCACGCTGCAACGTGCAGGCAGAAGGGATGGTGGGGGGGCCGTGGGGGAGCGGAGGCTGGGCGAGAAAGCGGAGTTCCTGCCTTATGTCTGCGCACGGTGTGGCTTCTCAGAGTGACCGGGACAGTGGGTGTCCCTGAGGAAGGGGAGGGGAAAATTCGACCCGGGGAGAGAGCAGCCCTTCTCCCACCTGGGTCGTCTCTGCTGATTAGGAAAAGGGCCGCTTCCTCCCTACACTTCCATCTATCAGAGAATGCCCCAAGACATGGCTCCCTGGGGGCCCCGGCATAGAGTGGGGGGACCAGGACAGGGTGCTGGGCAGGAGAGTGCCTGCTTAGCCCACCCTTTGCCCACTGCTGCAGAGATGGTGGCCACGCAGCAGCAGATGAATGACGCCCAGCTGGTGGTGAAGCAGCGGGACTACTGCGCCCACTACCTCATCCAGCTACTCAAGTGCAAACGCGACAGCTTCCCCAACTTCTTGGCCTGCAAGCACGAACAGCACGACTGGGACTACTGCGAGCACCTGGAGTGAGCCCCGCCCCACCGGCACCCACTCCCCACCCCAGAGCCCAGGCCAAGTGATGATCCGACCCCACCCCCATCAGCGCCCCTGCCCCAGCCAGCAGCGGGGAGTGCACCCACTCTGACCCTACCGTGCAGCAGGATGCAGCTCCAGAGGGCAGAGGGCCCAGGACTCACTGGGTGGGGCTGAGGAAGAGTCTGGAGGTGCAGGTGGCCCTGCCCTGGCCGCCAGAGGAGTTCCCACCTCACTGCTCACCTCACCTCCACGGGGAGGCCCTCAGCCAGCGCCTTCTTGGGAGGGTGCCTGGCCTGCAGGTGTGGGCAGAGCTCAGGCTTAGAGCACAGGGTCCAGGCTCCAGGAGGCCTCTGTCCTGGAGCACGAGCTTCTATCCCATCCACTTCCCAGGGCGCGGCACGGGTGTACTGAGGGCAGGGAGCCTGACGCCTTCTCTTTGCCCCCAGCTACGTGAGCCGCATGAAGGAGTATGAGCGGGAACGCCGTCTGCTCCAGCGGAAAAAGCGACGGGAAAAGAGGGAGGCGGACTCAGCCAGGGGCCACGGGCCCGGTGAGGTGGCCCCCGAGGTGGCCCTGTAGGGACCTGCTGCCACCCTGCGGACCAGTCAAAGAAATAAAAGCCTCCAGTTCCTCAATCCTAGCCCTGCCTCTGACTATGTGGTCGGGAAGGTGAGAAGGGTAATGTTGCACAGCTGGGACCCCAAACCCCCAAAGAAACACACACAACCTGGGTCCAGCTGGCAGGCAGGTTTTATTTCAAGTGCTGGAAGACTGTGACCCCCACACCTCCCCCAGAGTAACAATGAGGTTGGAGCACAGGAGCCTAGCTGGGGCCCTGGCCAGGGGTGAGCAGGCAGACGGCAGGGCCAGCAGCTCAGAGCAGGAAGGGGACAATGGGCGAGCGCAGGGGCGGGTAGTCGCGGAACTCCTTCAGGTAGCTTCGGTGCTTGCCCTTGGCCCAGATGGTCATCTGGATGAAGCCCACCAGGGAGAAGAGCGCCACTGCAGGGCAGGGCAGGGGCGTCAGGGACCGAGGTGGGGGCGGTGAGGGGGCAGCGAGCAGACAGGTGGCTGGGGTGCTGCAGGGGGAGGAAACCTGGCTCACCTGGAAGACACTGTGTCATGATGGTGAAGCCAATCCAAGACCCGACCTGTGGGCAGGGCAGGCAGGGAGGGTGGCTATAAGCAGGCCCACCCTCTGGGCAGAATGAGACACAGTGGGTTGCCTGTGTGCCCCACAAACACTCATCAAATGTTAAATCCACGCCAGCCTCAAAGAAGCCAGCTTTTCCCTTTCAAGATGCTCATAGCTCAAGGTACAGAACTAGGTACCCCTGTAAGCCCTGTGGGGGACAGGGAGAACCCTCACCTCATAGGTGTAGTTGGGACAAGACACCAGCAGGAAGAGCCACGTGAAGGGGTTCTTAGTGGGAAATGGGATCTTCCTCGTCTTGGACCCTGGCAGGAAGGATCAGGAGGAGTGAGTCTGCCGACCCGACCCGCCACCCCCGACCTGCCAGCCCACGGCAATACCCACCTGCCGGCCGCAGGTTCCGCAGGGCCATGTGGATGGAGAAGTTGCCGAGCTGGCAGATCTGTGGGAGGGGCAGGGGCAGACTCAGGTCCCCCCCGTCGGAGCCTCCCAGGCGCCTCTCCCCTTCCCCACCCCAGCCTCCTTACCACGAAGATGGCAAGCGCCAGCTTCACCTGCTGAGCTCCATAGGCTGCAGAGGAAGCAGGGGGGCAGCCGTGAGGAGCAGAGCCGGGTCGGGGAAGGCGGGTGGGAGGGGTCGGAGGCCACTTACTGGGGGGAGTGTAGAGAGGGTGGTTGATGTAATAGGCCATCCAGGCAGCGAAGCCCCAGTAGTACGTGCAGTTCTGAAAGGCCCCTTTGTTTCCAGAGAGCTGGAGCTAAGTCAG